TCGTTAGGCCGTCCTAACAGTCGGTGAAACACTACAGGAATCTTTCAAATCCTAAAGATGGTCAACCAACGCACAAGCGGTGATACTACAGCATCAGGATTCAGTCTTCCAGTATTAAGAACATAAATCAAAAGTTCAGTACATGGAAGACAACGGGGCCGGCCCAAGAAGTGCAGGCCAATAGGCTTGGACGGAGATTTATACATGCCACGGCATGCATGCTCTACAAAACCTTCTAGAGGATAAAATAATGCCGACGACCGCATGAAAGAAAGGCTGACATAAAAGATAAAAATCAGGACTCACTCTGTCGAGGAAGAGCTAGACCCTACGATGCCGGCGACAACGCTGTCAAGACGGTTGGCTGAGGCATGCTCCAGCAGTTGGAGACGGGACCAAAGGTAGAAGAAGTCGATATGATTTGCGGAGAGATGAGAGCAGCGCGAACGTAGCAATTGCTCGACTTCGCTTCCGGTAGTCCCGAAATCAGGCCTATAATAAATAGCAGACTGGTAGAAGGGGACAGTACGTAGTAAAATGCCCAATTAGGAATAACTAAACATGGTCGAGTTGACAGTCATGGTGAATGGACGTTAAATAAAAACATGAAAAAAGCCATAACTAATTATTTGGCTTTCAATGCTTCATTCTAGCGTCTAAAAATCAACAAAGTGCTAGGAAGCTCTGTGCTGGATAGGTAACCTCGGTTATCTGAAGCCTTGTCGGAGTCCGAGTCACGAAAAACAAGCGTACTTTAGCTAAACGTGTAGATGGAGAAGGAGAACGCGTTTCGATCACCGGAATCATAATTTTACTCGTCTGAGCTTTCGGGCTCGTTCTGGAGTTCATCATCAGAGATAAAAAGCGTCAACGAAAGATAAGCAACAGTTATAGGAGACAGGGGCTAATCAACCGTTATAGGGGGGAGGGGGAGAGGGACCAGTCAACCATCAGTCTGGGGGTGACTACGCAGGGCGATGTACGCCTGCACCGGATCAATAAATCGATTGATTGAGTTCTAATCCGAGGCC